TTATCCTCCAAGAAATATGGACAACAGGTGCTGGGTGGGATGAAGTTATCAACCCCCAATTAGAAAGTATGGCAGTGGTATCATGAAATAGAACTTCTTAGATCGATTCGGGTACCAAGATGCATTCAAGTGGCTTCTGCTATAGAAAATACAAAGCTGCACGTTTTCGCAGATGCTTCACAAGAAGCATATGGGGCTGTTGTATATGCAGTCACTATGGACAAAGGTGAGGTGGTCTCAAGTAATCATGTAAAGAGTCATGTGGCACCTCTTAAAGCAGACAGTATTCCAAGAATTGAGTTGCTTGCAGCTGTCATTGGAGTAAAACTTCTCAATATTGTTGTAAAGGCCTTGGCAATAACACCTCAGTCTGCGACACTTTGGTCTGATAGCTTAAATGTGTTGTGGTGGGTGAATAGTCTGAGTAGAAGTTTCAAGTCATTTGTGGTAAATCGTGTTGGATACATCCATGAGAATACAAATCCTAGTCAGTGGAGGTATGTCCCCTCACAACTGAACACTGCAGATATTGTCAGCAGAGGTGCTCAAGTTCAAACATTGGAGAACAGGAAATGGTTAAACAGTCCTGAATTCCTGACTTCAACAGAAAATGATTGGCCAAAACAAGTCGTTGACTTCAGTAACTGTGATAAACTTGAACGACGAATTCATCAGATGGCAGTTACAATGTTGTGTGAAACAGATGAAGAAACACCATGGCATTTAGAACCTTCTAGGTTTTCAAACTGGAAACGACTTTGCAGAGTTCTTGCATGGATTTTCAGATTCTTCAACAACTCTCGTATACCAACCTGTATCCGTAAAAAAGGTGATCTGGATCTTGAAGAAATTGAAGATGCTGAAATGAAACTGTTGACCAAAACACAAGGTAGAGAAAACGTCGACAAAAGCGATACCTTTGTCTCTTTACGTGTCTCTCTACACGAGCTGTACACTTAGAAATGGCGTATGGACTTGACACAGAATCCTATTTGAACGCCTTTTTTAGAATGGCACATAGACATGGAATGCCAAAGGAAATAATTTCAGACAATGGCACAAATTTTGTTGGAGCTGCAAAGGAGTTGAAGGTTCTTGTGTCAGAACTGGACTCAGACGCTGTAAAAACCTCACTTACAAACAAAGGAATTATTTGGTGGTGTCTTTGAGTCCATGATCTTTGCAATATTGAGCGCTGGAGATGTTACTGATGAGGAGTTAATGACTGCCTTGACAGGTGCAGAAGCTCTTGTTAACTCTCGACCATTGACTTACCAGAGTGCCCATCCACAAGATGAGACACCTTTGACACCAAACCATTTCCTTCATGGACAGATGGGAGGAGAATTCGCTCCAGAAATTGATTCATCGTTCACTCCAAGGAGGAGATGGAGACGAGTCCAAGAGCTTGTGAGACATGTATGGAGACGTTGGATGAGAGAATGGTTGCCAACTCTCAATGTCAGGAAAAAATGGTTCACTCCAACCAAAGACTTTAGAGTTGATGACGTTGTGAATTGTGGTGTCTCCGAATACACCTTGTGGTTGTTGGCAGGATAGTGAAGATATTTCCTGGACAGGATGGTCACGTTAGAGTTGTGGAGGTTCAAGTTGGACAATCAAAACTTACGAGACCTGTGACAAAGATTTGTCCTTTAGAATGGAACAGTGATACAGAGAATTAATGTTCCAGTACAGTGAGGCTGCAAAAGTAGAAGATTTAGCATATCAGATCAGTATTTCTTGTACATAGTGAAAATAGTGGAATTTTGATCGGGATTGTTAGTTTGTTGGTTTGTTAGTTCGTCTTCGTGTTAAAATGTATTGGTATTAGTTGATAGACATGGGTCTATCATCAAGAGGGGGTATGTTGTGGAGAAAAAATAATAAAAATAAAACAAACATTGTTTCGGTTCATGTAACATGAACATTTAGAATAAACGCCACATGCTTCACGGAAATCAGATCGTGGCATTCGTTTCGTATGCAGAAAATGAATGCTGACACGTGATGCATTGCAATCGTCAATGCAGGCTTTTCGTTGGAGCAAGACACACTTTACGGTCGTTGACCAATATTCGTGGTCTTGAAAGGAACTAGTTGTCGTTGGACCAATATTCGTGGTCTTGGTATAAACTAGATGGGACAATATTCGTGGCCCTTAGAAACGTAAAGTGTGTACTTGCTCCTATAGTCAGTTATTCATTCCTGCATTCGTGGTCATGGACCTTGCATAGTTTCTTTATTTAATCATTAAGAAGAGAGTCACGTTTAGTTCCCCACATGTCACATAAAGAGAATCACGTTTAGTTCCCCATTAAGTCATAGGAAGAGAATCATGTTTAGTTCCCCATTAATCGTATAATTTCCAGTGGAGTAGAAAAGACGAAAAGTAGACACATGAACGTCGCCTTCCACTGTGCAACAAACATTGGTAGCAGAGCGTGGTTACAAAATTCTGTCACAAAATCCACCTGACAAATTATTAAATACCATGTCATTCATGAGCACTCGCGAGTTCTACGTCTGTTGTCTGACGACTGGAGCTGTTTTCAGTTCGCACCCTATTGGATCATTCCTCGCCACTCGGTATCTTGTAGATTACGGAATGGGATGAGTGTGCTAAATGGCATCGGGATCATTCGTAAGTGTCCGTAGACTAAAGTCACGTCGTAGGCATGACTAGGTAAATTTGCACTTTGTTTCACAGTGTGGACGTGGTCGGTTAGCTGTTGGGCTAACAATCCGAAGGTCGCGATTTCGCATCCGACGGATTCTCACAAAAACTGGTTGCTTGTCTTTGAGACATGTGACCTACGGCAGAGACCGTCCTCACGAGAAGTTGTGGTACTGTATTCTAAAGGTGCTCCCAATCATTGTATTAAAGTTACAGCTTCAAAATGGTCAAATGGTTTCTGAGGAGATTATGTTTACAGTGTTAGGAGATTATGTTAACAGTGTGAGGAGATGATGTTTACAGTGTGAGGAGATTATGTTTTCAGCGTGAGGAGATTATGTTTATGCTCTGAGAAATACATTTGAATGAATTTCGGAAGATGGTCAAAGTACAAACGTCAAATAAAGATCAAAATTTAAAATATCACAAACATGGAAGATATGTGTTTAACCCTACTAGTAACTATCCACAGACCAAATTTCATGACATTTTGAACAAGAAATGTCTGACTTATGGCCATAAATGGGTTTTTCAACAAGGCTGCTGTGGTGGCCATATTGAAATTGGATTTGAACACCTTAAAACAAATTGGGGTGTCACCAGTGGTGTGAAGTGTCAGATTCATTGATGCAATAGTTTCTGAAGAGAACATGTTTAAGACTGACAGTGGACAAACAGGCTACAACATAAGCTAGCTAACCAGGTAACAACTTTCATTCAACACATGAATATTACAGGAACACAAAAAGTGATGTTTGAGAACTTTTAAATAAAACCTGACAACAAGATGTGCAGAATGAAGTGTAACATAGACTGGTTGTTTTAAAAGGGTAAGATGGCAGCAGCAAGTAAGATTTACAGCTACTGGATGGGCAATGGCATGTAAAGGTCAAATAGGAAATGAAGGACACTGTTCTCTGGAAATAAACTTAATCTTTTTCGCATTCATCTTGAACATGTCTACACTAACATGAACTCTGTTCCCAGTGCCAAGAACTGTCGGAAATATACACTGACAGACATTGACCAAGGTGTCATGCTGTTAGCCCTAGCCAGAACATGTACAAGTGTATGACACACATTGACCAAGGTGTCATGCTGTTAGCCCTAGCCAGAACATGTACAAGTGTATGACACACATTGACCAAGGTGTCATGCTGTTAGCCCTAGCCAGAACATGTACAAGTGTATGACACACATTGACCAAGGTGTCATGTGGTTAGCCCTAGCCAGAACATGTACAAGTGTATGACACACATTGACCAAGGTGTCATACCATTAGCCCTAGCCAGAACATGTACAAGTGTATGACACATTGACCAAAGTGTCATGCTGTTAGCCCTAGCCAGAACATGTACAAGTGTATGACACACATTGACCAAGGTGTCATGCTGTTAGCCCTAGCCAGAACATGTACAAGTGTATGACACACATTGACCAAGGTGTCATGCTGTTAGCCCTAGCCAGAACATGTACAAGTGTATGACACACATTGACCAAGGTGTCATGCTGTTAGCCCTAGCGAGAACATGTACAAGTGTATGACACACATTGACCAAGGTGTCATGCTGTTAGCCCTAGCCAGAACATGTACAAGTGTATGACACACATTGACCAAGGTGTCATGCTGTTAGCCCTAGCCAGAACATGTACAAGTGTATGACACTCATTGACCAAGGTGTCATGCTGTTAGCCCTAGCCAGAACATGTACAAGTGTATGACACACATTGACCAAGGTGTCATGCCATTAGCCCTAGCCAGAACATGACATATGGCCAATGTGCCATGGTAATAGTTTGTTTGTGTTTTGTATAAATGAACACATGTGGCTTTGCATATGAATATTTACAGTTACATAACACTGGTAGGCTGATATTTTCTTTCAATGTGATGAGCCTTAACAACGTAAAGATGGTCTCAAACAAGTTAATACATAATTTGAAATGAATATAATGTTTTTATTATTAAGGACTCACCCTCATGTCTTTTAATATAAAAAAACCACATCAACATTTGTGAAAACCTGGTGAAACCATGGACTTGGACTTAAGTATATACTCCAAAGTCCAGCCACTGTTAACACAAGCTGTGACCCCAGCCAACTAATGGTCACAACTGCAAGGTCTATGGAAGAATTGTACTGGATAAACAGAAGATTCACTCATGACTACTTTGTATCAAGATTCTAGATGACAAGACATAGGGGCCTGTGTGTCGGGCTAGTCATACAGGCCATTACAAACATTACACAGAAATCTGATCTGATATATGAACCATATAATGATATCTATACACAGTTTGCATGAATCAGGCAGTACTTACCTCACTGTTGTCATTCTCATCTATGAACTTTATTGCACTTAGGTCTTCCTTCACATTACGCAACAATATCCATGATTTACTCTGCTCCACATGTTGGTTGACACCAGCAACAATAGTATCCATAGTCATATCTCTATCATTGTCAGTACTCTCAGCAATTGTCTGTATGCTAGTCTTGCTGGTAACTTGGTCAAGGTCATCATCACTGATTTCTAGATCAGACAGTTTAGTATCAGATGCTGTACTAACATGGTCAATATCATCTAGCATATCCATGAAGGCTTTTTCAATATCAGACCGATTCTCAAAACTTTTCAAAGGATTGCATTCTACCTGACCAGTTTTCTTAAACCAGCTTCGAGTTTGGGGAAGAACATCACTATGGGACCGACTCAGACCTTTTGATTTAGGCTTCAGGTCAACCTTAAACACATACTTGTCTGTACATTTGTCTGATTTCACCACAAAACACTCAGTGTTGTTTGAGTCACCGGTCCGTTTGGCACATTGATCTGTAGAGTCACTGAACTTGTGATCTCTGCTCGAATCCTTCTGATTGGAAGTGGCTGATGCTGTAGTTGGCAAGAGCGTAGTGCTGCTGTTGCTGCTGACTGTTGGAGTCTCTGGTGTGTGGTCTTTAGGCACTAGAGAACTACTTTCAGTTACTATGGTCTTCACAGACACAGATGTAACAGGGGAAACAGCAGACAGGTTCAACTCAACATTACCTTTGTGTTTACTGGGTACAGCATTAGGGCTCTCTTTACCCTGGGAGAGCCTATCAAACACAGTTCTTTTCTCACTGTCGGTCGTTTTCTTCACTGCAAAGCCTCCAGCCTTGAACTTGAGTTTGTCAACATCTGGCAGGACTCTTTTCTTAGAATCTATTCCCTTGCTGACACGAACTTTGTCCTTTGCATCTGAACCTCTTGTTGCCCCAGAGTTAAGTTTCACAGTCAAATTTGATTTCAATGTAGATTCCCTTCTACTGTCAATGATTAGATTATAGTTATCAGTTTTCAATGGTTGACTTTTGCCTTTCTTTGAAACAAAAGGTTCTGACTGTCCAGAGCTTGAAGGTGTCAACAATTTGCCTTTGCCCGTTAAAACAACCTTCCTGGTGTTTGCTGGCACATCTGCTGTTTTACTAAGGTTACCTTTCCTGTCCTTAACATGTGGTGGGGAGGGTCCAGGTTTGGAGCTAGCTGTATTTCTCTTGTCAGTATTCCCTCCACTGTCTTTGCTTTTCTGTGACCCTCGGGTTATTGATTGACTTTGTCCACCTTGACCTTTCTCTCGACTACTAAGCCTAGCTTTAATCTTGGAGAGAAAGTCTTCTTCCTCCACCCCAGCTCCAGCTCCTGCCTCTGCCTTCTTGGGCACACTTGTAGAAGAGGATGTCCCTGCCTTGTCAGCCCTGTCTGTGCAAGGTCCCACTTTGTTTCCTGCCCTACCGCCCTCACTAGTTGTCACCGTTTGTTTCAGCTGTTCAGTAGAGAATTGGATCTCAACTGTTGGGTAGTTTAATCTGACTATGGAGTCAGAATCAGTCTGTCTCAGGTCAAAGTGTTTCAGTGTGCTGTCCTCTCTCTTATCCAGGCCAGTATTGACCTTGGTGCTGGTTCCATCCTCTGAGAGTCTTCTGGAGTCTGTCTGGCTCACAAACTGAGGTCTGTGCAGTGTGATGTCCTCTGACTGGCGCCGCAGGCTGCTCTCGGCCTTCGACAACCTATTTCCAGCAGACAACTTGACTTTCTCTGTTATAAAGAAATAAATAGGATCACCTGGCTATTAGTACGGACTGGTATAAAGGTAATTGATTATAATAGATTTAGACTATTGTACATACAAAAGTAACTATCAATATCTTATTGCTTCAACTCAGTTTCTTTACCTTTGCTTAATTTACTGAATAACAACATCCACATTTCAAAAACTGCAAATAAGAATAATGCAAATAAGTAGCATGTAAGTTCCCTGTCGGTGAAGTTTTGTTTGTTTCATTGTTGTTTAACGCAATATTCCAGCTACATGACGGCAGTCTGTAAGAAATCGTGTCTGGACCAGACAATCCAGTGATTGAAAACATGAGCATCGATCTACGCAATTGGAATACGATGACATGCATCAATAAAGTCAGCGAGCCTGACCACCCGATCCCGTTAGTCGCCTCTTACGACAAGCAGAGTCACCTTTTATGGCAAGCATGGGCTGCTGAAGACCTATTCCAACCCGGATCTTCACGGTCTTCAGTGAAGTCCTAACTACATATCGAGGAAGATATGATCTGGTCATGGCTAAGCTGGGATAAGTGTGGTGTCGTTCTCTTTCACCTCGTCTGAGTGTTCAGAGTTGATCATGTATATGATCATCTCAAAGAGACAAATGTTTACAAAGAAGATTAGATTGGTAAAACTAAAAAACCTGAATTGAAGCTAATTTAGCAGATCAAACATGATCGCATTGTCTTAATAGTCTAATTTGTTGTATTTTGAATATATGCATGAACACCTAATGCAAATGATTGGTTTCAACCGTATGAATTTACATCGCAGCTGATTTACACCTGCATCTGATTCTCCACCAGGGAGGTCTGATGACTCACCCGGTCTTACCAGGGGTTTTAATGCCATCTACAGTATTGTGTACAGCTACAAGTGCATAGTGCCACCTGTGTTAGCAATAGTTAAACCCATGTTCTAAACATTAATAAAGACATCTACAAGCAAGATTACATGTGTCAATCCAAGGTTATTCTACTGGGAAACTAATATCTTATCCCTGACACCAGCAGGCCACTCTGTGTTAACAGAGGCTCCATGTCTTAATGCTAGTGCCCAGTCAAGCACTAAACCTTTTTCTATTTAAATATGAAATTGTCTTTAGGTATAAAATGCGATAGACACAAATGAACAATTAGATTTCTGTCAACAAAACTAAAATAGTTGATCTGCTTGTGTGGCTGTCTACTAGTGAGGGCAATCCCGATTGTCTTTCTGGGATTATAGAGCTACACGGATGAATGGATAGATTCCCAATCCTCATGCATGGGTGAGCACACAGTATGCTACATACAGTGTACAGGCTGAATGGGGGTGGTGGGATGTAGCTGGATGAGAGTTGGTGTGGGGCCATTTGATGTGAAAGCTGAATGAGGGTGGGAGTAGGGGGTGTTTGAGGATAGTGATGGGGGCTGGGGGTGATGGGGGGTGGGGTGTGCTGTATTGGATAAGCAGAGGCCAAGCACGATCCCCAAGTGTGGAGATGTCACACTATGCACTGCATGTACATACTGGTCAAATCTGCTTGTCTTGTACATTTCTATCACAGTCTGTGAGAACATTGGATTCTTAATACTTCACTCCCATAAAACATTAGCCAGATATATATGAGCTATACATGGCTTTGTTTGTACTGACATGAGATTACAGGTATGTCGAGCAGCACACACAGCAAGGCAGGACATTGGGATTCCCAAGGAGGCAGGCACATTTGTGTTGCTCTTTGATACATCGTCATAATGGGATATCAAAGTCTCATGTTTTCAGCGGGTCTGTTTGTAGCCAGATAGCCTTCTGGCCTTGTCACTGTGGGGGGTTTACCCACATTAGTCACATACCTCCACAGTACAGCCCAGCAGACCATTGCCCTCCCAATTCTCCATGAGTGTAAGGGTGGAGTATTAGTAGGAGAGAAAGGGAGGGTGGTGTACTGGCCCATGTGTGGGAGGGAGGGAGGGTGGTGTACTGGCCCATGTGTGGGAGGGAGGGAGGGAGGATGGTGTACTGGCCCATGTGTGGGAGGGAGGGAGGGAGGGTGGTGTACTGGCCCATGTGTGGGAGGGAGGGAGGGAGGGTGGTGTACTGGCCCATGTGTGGGAGGGAGGGAGGGAGGGTGGTGTACTGGCCCATGTGTGGGAGGGAGGGAGGGAGGCAGGTGTACTGGCCCATGTGTGGGAGGGAGGGAGGGAGGGTGGTGTACTGGCCCATGTGTGGGAGGGAGGGAGGGAGGGTGGTGTACTGGCCCATGTGTGGGAGGGAGGGAGTGTGGTGTACTGGCCCATGTTTGGGAGGTAGGAAGGGTGGTGTACTGGCCCATGTGTGGGAGGGAGGGAGAGTGTTGTACTGGCCCATGTGTGGGAGGGAGGGAGGGTGATGTACTCTGGCCCATGTGTGGGAGGGAGGGAGGGAGGGTGAAGTACTGGCCCATGTGTGGGAGGGAGGGAGGGAGGGTGGTGTACTGGCCCATGTGTGGGAGGGAGGGAGTGTGGTGTACTGGCCCATTTTTGGGAGGTAGGAAGGGTGGTGTACTGGCCCATGTGTGGGAGGGAGGGAGAGTGTTGTACTGGCCCATGTGTGGGAGGGAGGGAGGGTGTTGTACTGGCCCATGTGTGGGAGGTAGGGAGGGTGGTGTACTGGCCCATGTGTGGGAGGGAGGGAGGGTGATGTACTCTGGCCCATGTGTGAGAGGGAGGGAGGGTGGTGTACTGGCCCATGTGTGGGAGGGAGGGAGGGAGGGTGGTGTACTGGCCCATGTGTGGGAGGGAGGGAGGGAGGGTGGTGTACTGGCCCATGTGTGGAAGGGAGGGAGGCAGGTGTACTGGCCCATGTGTGGAAGGGAGGGAGGGTGTTGTACTGGCCCATGTGTGAGAGGGAGGGAGGGTGTTGTACTGGCCCATGTGTGGGAGGTAGGGAGGGTGGTGTACTGGCCCATGTGTGGGAGGGAGGGAGGGTGATGTACTCTGGCCCATGTGTGAGAGGAAGGGAGGGTGGTGTACTGGCCCATGTGTGGGAGGGAGGGAGGGAGGGTGGTGTACTGGCCCATGTGTGGGAGGGAGGGAGGGAGGGTGGTGTACTGGCCCATGTGTGGAAGGGAGGGAGGGTGATGTACTCTGGCCCATGTGTGGGAGGGAGGGAGGGAGGGTGGTGTACTGGCCCATGTGTGGGAGGGAGGGAGTGTGGTGTACTGGCCCATGTTTGGGAGGTAGGAAGGGTGGTGTACTGGCCCATGTGTGGGAGGGAGGGAGAGTGTTGTACTGGCCCATGTGTGGGAGGGAGGGAGGGTGTTGTACTGGCCCATGTGTGGGAGGTAGGGAGGGTGGTGTACTGGCCCATGTGTGGGAGGGAGGGAGGGTGATGTACTCTGGCCCATGTGTGAGAGGGAGGGAGGGTGGTGTACTCGCCCATGTGTGGGAGGGAGGGAGGGTGGTGTACTGGCCCATGTGTGGGAGGGAGGGAGGGAGGGTGGTGTACTGGCCCATGTGTGGAAGGGAGGGAGGCAGGTGTACTGGCCCATGTGTGGGAGGGAGGGAGGGAGGGTGGTGTACTGGCCCATGTGTGGGAGGGAGGGAGGGAGGGTGGTGTACTGGCCCATGTGTGGAAGGGAGGGAGGCAGGTGTACTGGCCCATGTGTGGGAGGGAGGGAGGGAGGGTGTTGTACTGGCCCATGTGTGGAAGGGAGGGAGGGTGTTGTACTGGCCAATGTGTGAGAGGGAGGGAGGGTGGTGTACTGGCCCATGTGTGGGAGGGAGGGAGGGAGGGTGGTGTACTGGCCCATGTGTGGGAGGGAGGGAGGGAGGGTGGTGTACTGGCCCATGTGTGGAAGGGAGGGAGGCAGGTGTACTGGCCCATGTGTGGAAGGGAGGGAGGCAGGTGTACTGGCCCATGTGTGGAAGGGAGGGAGGGTGTTGTACTGGCCAATGTGTGAGAGGGAGGGAGGGTGGTGTACTCTGGCAAATGTGTGAGAGGGAGGGAGGGTGGAGTACTGGCCAATGTGTGGAAGGGAGGTGGTGTACTCTGGCCTATGTGTGAGAGGGAGGGATGGTGATGTACTCTGGCCCATGTGTGAGAGGGAGGGAGGGTGGTGTACTCGCCCATGTGTGGGAGGGAGAAAGGGTGATGTACTCTGGCAAATGTGTGAGAGGGAGGGAGGGTGTTGTACTCTGGCCCATGTGTGGGAGGGAGAGTGTTGTACTCTTGCCCATGTGTGAGAGGGAGGAAGGGTGTTGTACTGGCCCATGTGTGAGGGAGGGTGGGTGTTGTACTCTGGCACATGTGTGGGAGGGAGGAAGGGTGGTGTACTCTGGCCCATGTGTGGGAGGGAGAGTGTTGTACTCTTGCCCATGTGTGAGAGGGAGGAAGGGTGTTGTACTGGCCCATGTGTGAGAGGGAGGGTGGGTGTTGTACTCTGGCCCATGTGTGGGAGGGAGGGAGGGAGGGTGGTGTACTGGCCCATGTGTGAGAGGGAGGGAGGGTTGTGTACTCTGGCCCATGAGAGGGAGGAAGGGTGGTGTACTCTGGCCCATGTGTGGGAGGGAGGGAGAGAGGGTGGTGTACTGGCCCATGTGTGGGAGGGAGGGAGAGAGGGTGGTGTACTGGCCCATGTGTGGGAGGGAGGGAAGGTTGTGTACTCTGGCCCATGTGTGGGAGGGAGGGAGGGAGGGTGTTGTACTGGCCCATGTGTGAGAGGGAGGGAGGGTTGTGTACTCTAGCCCATGTGTGGGAGGGAGGGTGTTGTACTCTAGTCCATGTGTGAGAGGGAGGAAGGGTGTTGTACTGGCCCATATGTGGAAGGGAGGGAGGGTGGTGTACTGGCCCGTGTGTGAGAGGGAGGGAGGGTTGTGTACTCTGGCCCATGTGTGGGAGGGAGGAAGGGTGGTGTACTCTGGCCCATGTGTGGGAGGGAGGGAGGGTTGTGTACTCTGGCCCGTGTGTGGGAGGGAGGGAGGGTGATGTACTCTGGCAAATGTGTGAGAGGG